TAAGCCAATCAGAGAAAGATAAATATCACATGATCTCACTCATTTGTGAAATATAATAAACAACATAAACTGATGAAAAAAAAAAACCACAGAACCAGAGACACAGAAGCACTGAACAGACTGTCCCACCTATGAAGGAAGATGGGGGGGTGAGGAGGTAAGAGATCAACCAAAGGACTTGTATGCATGCATATGAGCATAACCAACGGACACAGATAGTAGAGTGGTGAGGGCATGTGCTGAGGGGCTAGGAGTGGCCAGGAAGAGGTCAATGAGAAAAAAAGGAGACTCATCTCATGTAATACTTTAAACAATAAAGAATTTAAATTTAAAAAATGTTTAAATGCCTCAAATGTTAATAGTGATTACTTCTGGATTGTAGAATTTTTAAAATCTTTAATTTCAAATATTCTCCAGTGTGCAATTATTTCTATTTTAAGCAATAAAAGTAAACTGCTTTAAACACAACTCCTTTCTTCATCCAACTTGGAATCATAATGCTGGACTTAGCTATTGGCTGATAATGAAGAGCTGGAGAGAGTATCTACCAAGTTGCAATTTGTTAATGGCAGAGCCAGTCTAGAAACAAGTTCTCCTACCATGAAGTCTTCATACTTCGCTGACTAGAGGGAGCAAGCTTTTGTTGGGGCTCTTTTTTTGTGCCCATTTGTGTATCCAGGTTGCTGGCTTCTTTAGCTCTAACTCTGGAATATATGAGGCAAAAAAGAGAACTTGTTATGCCAGGTAAAAGGAAACTTTATGAGGTATAATTCTCAAAAAATGGTTCTCTGAAATTCTGCATTCTAATTATCAGTGGTACATGTTAAAAATGATGATGCCCAGCTGGTGTGGCTCAGTGGTTAAGTGTTGACCTGTGAACCAGGAGGTCATGGTTTAATTCCTGGTCAGGGTACATGCCTGGGCTGCAGGCTCAATCCCCAGTGTGAAGCATGTAGGAGGCAGCTGATCAATGATTCTCTCTCATCATTGATATTTCTACCTCTCTCTCCTTCTCCCTTCCTCTCTAAAATGAGTAAGAATAGATTTTTTAAAAAATGATTTATTTTATCATAATTTTTAAAAATTATGGAGATTGTCAGGTACACAACCCCAGAAACAAGAAGTAAAGTGGAATTGAGGACAGGAAGTTGCATTTAAAATAGCACATAATAGTAGAAGGTATGTTCAGTTTTTAAAAAATTAAAATGTAATTTTTAGAGTATATTTGAAGTCCTCATAGATCCAGGATCTTTGGTAGCCTCTAAAAGGTCATTATAAGGACATGAAAATCTAATTTATGTGAAGATGGATCAAACCTGTTAAAACACACTCATTAGAATTGACATTAATCTGTACCAAGTAATGTAAACTACTTCTAAGAAAAATATTATTTTTAAAGGACAAAGGAGGATATTTTCATCATGGTGTATATTTAATCTTTTAAGATATTGAAATAGCCTAAATAAATAAACAAAAGTTTAAAAAATAGAGAGGAATTATAAACTGTTCCCCCCTATAATATCCAATCATTTTTAAAAATATACTTTTTTTTATTTCAGAGAGGAAGGTAGAGATAGAAACATCAATTATGAGAATCATTGATGGTCTGCCTCCCACACACCCCCTACTGGGGATCAAGCTGCAACCCCAGGAAGTGTCCTTGACCAGAATCAAACCTAGGACCTTTCAGCCCACAGGCCGATGCTCTATCCACTGAGCCAAACTTGCTAAGGCATATCCAATAATTTTTAAAGGCCAACCTCAAGGCTGTCTCATATCAAGACTTCCTTGCCCAGGCCAGGTAACTCAGTTGGTTAGATAATCCTCACAATATGCCAAAGTGGTAGGGTCTATCCCCAGTTAGGGCACATACAGGAATCAACCAATGAATGCTTAAGTGGAAAAACAAATCAATGCTTCTCTTTCTTGCTCTCTCCTCCTTTCCTCTCTCTCAAATCAATAAAAATAACTTTTTAAAAAAGACTTCCTTTGTTTCCCAGATGTTCATCATCTAATGTACTCTTGTTCAAAATTTCTTTAATGGGCAATCTTGTTGTACTCTATTTAAAAATTAAGATTAAGCCCTAGCCGATTTGGCTCAGATAGAGCATCTAATATTCCTACTGCATAGAGGAGTGGTTCTCAACCTGTGGGTCGCGACCCTTTGGGGATCAAACATCCCTTTCACAGGGGTCGCCTAAGACCATCGGAAAACACACATATAATTACATATTGTTTTTGTGATTAATCACCATGCTTTAATTATGTTCAATTTGTAACAATGAAATTGGGGGTCACCACAACATGAGGAACTGTATTAAAGGGTCGCGGCATTAGGAAGGTTGAGAACCACTGGCA